TTTTTTACAAATAAATAAATATTATTATTTGTATAATATTATTATTATTATATTATAAAAAATTATTATCTGTACAATAAGCTTGATAGATATTTTATGCTTTAAATTATAGTTATATTAATTTAAAATAAGTTCATTTCACTGGAAAAAAGAGAATGATCGCAAATTTTCCAATCAATAATGTTTTAAACTACTAAAATCATATATTATTACATTATGATTTAATTATGGAATAATAATTTTGTTAATTTTTTTGTAATTATTTATATTTATACTATATATTTCAATTTTAGGAATAATTTCGTACCAAAAACATGTTTTTGTCCTCTCATCTTGGAAATATAGGTTTTTGCCACTTTTTGCCAAATTGCTTGGCAAAAACCTGTTTTTGCCAGGACGGTTTTTACCGGTATTTACCATGGTTTTTTCCACCTGCGGCAAAATCTTGCCAACCCTGCTTTTAAATGAGGAAAACCATTTACATATTCGGATTCAAGGTTTATATTTTAATCAACGCAATAAATATGCAGTCGGGGGAAAAAGAAAAACAGTAACAAAATATTTTTTATTTATTATTTTTTTTAATAATTTTCTTAGTAGTAAAAAGATTGTTGATTGATCTAGAAAAACAATTAAACTGTTAGTATTCAATATCTTAAAATATATATTAATCAACATAACAGATTCTCATTGACTTATTTTATGTACAGTGCAAGGAATGGAAAAAAGGAACACCTTGATTAACTTTTGATTTAATCATATTTTCACATACAAAGAATCAATACCATATTTTAAGTTACAAAGGTTAGAACAGAAAAGCGCATTCTGTTCTGGATAAACTATACAAGAAGTCAGTTTGCTTAAAATTTTATTTATCTCGAATTATTCAACTGATTTCATTCAAATTTTGTATTTTACAAATTAAAATAACCTTCCATAAAATTATATAAAAATTTTTATATCTTGCTATTTTATTTTATCCATCGTTGAACAACTAACCCAATTTTCGGGTTTAGCACTCCTAATGTTCTCCGTAGCCTTGTAATTTTTAACCAATCCAGAAGACAAGGAAACTCCTGGATAAGTACCCCCAGAGGTATTGATTTGTTATGGGAACATGGAGGACTTTGCGACTCGACAGACTTAACATGCATCAGACGCCATTTACTACACGGGGACTACTACATTCAGAATTTTTCCAATGCATATTATGAATATATATATATGTATAAAAAATATTAAATATTTTATAACTATTTAAAACTATATTTTTTGAATGTCATTACCTTTGGAAAAACGAATTTTTGCAATTGTATGGATTCAATCAAAAAGCAAAACGTTTTGGAGATATGATGACGTTATGGAGATTGAGATATTATCATCATTATCATTGAGCTATTATTTCGAAGCTATTATTATGCAATTACTATGAAATTAACAAAAGAGGACAAAATGAAAGACGTTTTTATTTATTTATATCATATTAATATTGAAAGTGAACATCATTTCATCTTACTTTCCTCTTTCAATCATAATCCTTAAAATTATCAAGGCATATATATATATATATATATGGATAACCACCAGCTAAATTACCTTTCTATGTAAAAAAGAAAAATTATTTTGCTATTGTCAGCAATATTGACATACTTCAAATGAATGCACAGTGTGCAAAAAAATAAATGTACCCTCCGGAATAAATTTTAATCTTAAGTTCTGATCTTCATGTTCTAGGACTCAATCCTAATGGTTCGAGAGGGTGATATCAAATATACTAATTAATTAGTCTAAACGATATTTTAAGTTAGGAAATTAGTCATAAAAACGTTATCCGATTAAACATACCTTTTTTCGACGGATTCGGATTTCTGTCCCCCAAAATATAGTAGTTTCAATCTAGAAATATTGTTTTAATAGTTTTTTCAGGAATAGTTTTTTCGCTTGAAAGTTAGGACCCTTTAATGTTAACTTTAGTTTTTGCGTAGTTCACTATATCCCAATTTTTTTTAAGTGAATTGAAAAAATTTTGCATACAATTCCAATCAGATCAATAAATTCCTATTCGTTTTTCTAAAGATAATTCATACAAAATAAATCTTTTAGTAAACATTTATTATTACTTTATTTAAGGGAAGTGGAGAAACTTAAGAAATGTAAGGTGTACAATTTTTTCATCATTTGCAATTTTAAATGTCAAAATACAAAATTTAAGCAAAATCGGTCAAATAAGTCCTGAGAAATAAAGTAAAAAAACTCTTCTGTGTGAAAGGTTATTCGTTGCAGGTGTATATCAATATGCAAAAAGCTTTTGCAGGGCGAAACAGAAATCTTGGTAGAAAGTGTGCTTTCAGCTTTGCAGAGAAACGAAAACATAGGCAGACAAACAGCAGCCATGTGTGGCAATTTTTTTTAAAATGTAAGTAAGTTAATATTAGTTTCTCGGGCGCAAATTTAAAGTTTGTAAATTGAAAAATGATTAAAAATTTAAGCTATATATTGTTTGAATCTTATATTTTAAGCCAATGGACTTACTCTTTTTCTCAAATGGAGAAATTAGCATTTTGCCGGACACAGATGTTCACTTTAAAAGCATCTTTGAAAAGAAAAAGGAATCGCAAGGAGAAATTTTAAAAGTCTCTTTGTATTTATTTACAATATATATTAACATCAAGTCCCCTTATTAAACTAGCCCT